TTCATGGCCGCCTTCACGACGTTGCGGACCATGAACCGGGTGAACCATAGCTGCTCGAACTCCTTCCACGTAATGTGCGTGTGGAGTTCGGCGATAGTGCACTTGTGTGTAGCCGCTAGGTGTTTCATCCATCCCTGCGCTCCTCAAATCAGCTGCAGATATACTGCCTTCAACATGTCGTCAGCCGGGACCATGCGGCATGATGCTTCCGTGAGGAAGCGTTGCCAACATGACAAGGCGTCCGACTTGTTGTAATCGTCGAACTTGCTGATGTCGAAGTTCGGCATCTTGAACGTCTTTGTAGCGGCTTCCGGTCTCGTCTGTATCTTGGTGATGTCCGTCTTGATGGCGGCCACAGTGCTGCTGATCGAGTCTGGTCCGTTGAAAGTACTTATGTCGCCGATGATGGTGACGACGTGATCGATGCGCTCGTTGAGTTGTTTCGTCACGTCTGTTGTGCAGCCTGGCGCTGCTGAGGCGCTAGCCTCTATGCTGTTGACGCGTATGATAGTGGAATTCAACAGTTGATGCTGTTGCTGCTGCTGCATTGCCTCTGTGCGGATAGCAGTTGTTAACGTAGTCATATCATTCTTGTATGTTTGTCGCTGCGTCGCGTCCGTGCGCTGATGTGACTGCAGAAGTGTATTATTCCACATAATACCTCTCATCATGCCCAGCAGCAAGTTAGCCAGGTTACTTCTCTCTGCCTCCGCCAGTGTCGGGTCTGCCTGCGCTTCTGTAGGCACAAAGATCATGTCTTGGAGTATCGTCGTCCACTGATGCTCACAAGCAATCAAGGACTCCGTGCTGCTGGCATTCCGTCTGTCTCATGTCGCTGCGTCAGTCTCATTCGTTCACTGAGCTTCGGCTGCCGCTTCATTGGCTAGCCGCTGACGTTCTGCCTCTGCTGTCTCCTTCCGGGCCTCGAAGGCAGCTACGGCTTCCGTAAATGCCAGTAGCCGCCCACGATAATCAGTCGCTGCCTCATTGGCTCCTCGGACTGGGTATGCGGGATGATCTCCGGTGGCGTCTTGTACCGTCAATGTCGTACTTGATGCTGCTGGAGTCGTCCGTCTGCTGAGTTTCTTCGGTCTTGGAGGTACTCGAGAGCGGGCACGAACTACGATTCTGGCACTGCGTCGTGGCAGTGCCCCGGTGTCCTGTTCTGTCGACATCAGTCCGAACTGATGCGGTACTTGAGAAGTCCCGGTAATCACAGAACACGGGGGGTAGGGAGAGTGGGAACAGGGGTAGAACAATCAAGCAATATACATACAATCCCCTGTCCCACTGATGGACTTTAGACACCTAATCAAACACGAAAAGAATTAAATTTCATGTAAACCCTTCGAAAAATTCGTAATAAGGAATTTATAACGATTTAATCAATAAAATTAATTAATGATAATCAACGAAATAAATCCGAATGATAATCAGTAAACAATGTTTGAAATAAAGATAACCAATTAATGATAATCAGTAAAACAATGTTTGTAAATAAAGATAACCAATTACTAAACGAATTGGAAAGGTATTATGATGAGGTCTCTTTGAGGTCACTGTGAGACTGGGAGTTCTCCATTTAATAAGTGAGCTGCCCGGTAGTTGCAATTTAAGGTCAGATGCGGCTTAGTGTGCTAAAAAAAATTTCGGAAAATTT